TCGGGGGCCTGGAGCCGGAGCCGGGGCTGGAGGTGAGGCGAGGCCTCGGAGCGGGGCCCGGCACCCCCCCCGGGGCTGAGGAGCGGGGCCTGGGATCCCCCCAGGGTCCCTCTCCCCCGCTGGAGCTAAGGGCCCAGTCCCCCCCCATCCTTACTGATGGCTTCACCTATGTGCCAATAATATATTCTTAAATCCCTCCCTTTTATTTTGTTTTGTTGGTTTCTAATCATTTTTTTAGTTTCCTTGTCTCCTTGAGGCGTGCTGGGTGCAGGGCACCCCCGAGGGGGTGTCGGGCCGCCGCAGGGCGACGCCTGCCCCTGTGCCGCGGCCGGTTTTGTGGTCTGCACGGCAAAACTACCGAGAGCCCAGCGCCAGGGGGAAGAGCTGGAACGAAACCCCGCTAGTCCGCCTGCAAAATACCGTGCTAGTGTTTTACTGAAAGCGCCGGCGAAACCGCGCGCCCGCACAAAGCAGGACGGCAGAGAGCAGGAGACAGTCTGGGATGAGGATGACCGGGGGGACAGAAAATCCCACGTCTGTCTTCGCTCTCCTCCCGAAGCAGAGGCTGGATGATAATGGAGATGAGGTGTCGACAGGGTCGGAGGTCCAGCCAGGTTGAGCTTATTTTTACGGAGAGATACTCATCTTCAGTCTCACTGCTTATTCCAGGCCTTATTGCTGTTAAACTTCCTAAAAACTTTCCTTGATTTCTAGGTAATTAGGTCTCATGAGTAGTCCTCTCTCTCTTGCGGTTGCTCAGCCCCTGGAGCACCCGTAGATATTTCAAAAGACCCTTTTTTCTCTTGTTTTTCCTCAGCATTCCCTGTTTTCAGTGTTTTCCAAGTTTGGGCCGCTCTACTCGGTGCGAGTGCACAGAAATGCTGCCGTGGCAGGGCCCGGGTATTACGCCATCGTCAAGTTTTATTCAGCTGGAGATGCCAGCAGAGCCCAGCGCGCATGCAATGGGCAAAGGCTGTTTCAGAAATCTCCCTTGAAGGTAAGCAGAACGGCCCCAGGTGTGAAACGTGCAGGACTCAGCACCGTGACCTCCAGCAGCAGTGTGGGATTACACAAAATAATTGTTGATCTCGGTGATGCTCCCTGTGCAAAAAGTTTACTAACTTTTGGCTGGATGCTACCCTGTGGTGACATCCCCCACCGCTGGCTCCCAGGTAGCATTTAAGCAGTAAAATGGCAGCATCCCTCCTCTGGAATAATTTGCAGGGCCTGTTCCTGGGTAAAAAATATTTAACAGATCTCAGAAGCGCGCGTGCGGTCAGGGAACAGGATACCTTCGGATGACTCTCCCGGAGCCACGGTGTGTCTGTAGTGGGAACCTGGCAAGCAAAGCCTGGCTAACCAGGGTTCTTCTTTCCTGGACAGGTTTGTGTTTGCACCAAGCAGAAAGGGTTTCAGCAGCAAGTCCTTGCTCTCAACAGCAACAAGTGCCAGGAGTTGGCCAACCACTACTTTGGCTTTAACGGCTGGTCCAGTCGCATCATCGCAGTAAGGGACCCTTTATATTCATCCATCACCCTTCCTCTTATCCTCTTCTTAATTAGAGCGGTTGGCGGAATAAGAAGAATTGTCCTCAAATCAGCAAATAACAGACAGCTACAGGAGCTGTGTTTTGGACCACAAATGGGGGTATTTTGAAAGCTTGGGGAGAGAAGATTGCTATGGGTGAGAGCGCTGGCTTGGCTGCTGTTAATAAAAATGGGGACGGCTGTGATTAAAGCAGTGCCAGGGCTTGACAGTAATCTTTGTGTGCTGAAAGTGTCTGAGATGACTGAGACTCCCAGCGGATGGGGAGTATGAGGTATTTCTAAAATAGTGTCAAAAACATCCCTGCTCTGCTTCTGCCGTGTGCTACTGCCTTGGAGTTACACGCTGTGCAGAGATCTGTGGCATGCAGGCATAGGCCTAAGTGGTCATAACATCCCCTTCCTATTTAACCGAAATTAATTATCTGTGGTCTTCCCAACAGCTGCAGAATGTATCTGGCTTTGATGGTGGGAATGAGGAACTGGGAGAGACATTACAGAAGCGATCTGTGAAATATCTGTGTGCTGTAGAGGTGACACTGCCCAACCACGGGGTACGCACCAGGGGAGTTGCCCTCGGCGAGGCAGACATCGAAAACAGTGAAGGTACGTTTTGGATGCAGCTGGAAGTCCCTCTCAGCAGCTGGCACAGACGCTGGTCAGTCTTGTGTTTGCACAGTTTGTGGGTCTGATGTAGTATCCGAATTTAGCTGGAGGCAAGGATCTGTGTGGGGCCTTGTGAGCTACCATGCTATGCAGCAAGGGATCCTGAGCATGCCTCTTCCCTCCCTGATTCACACCAGTATCGCTTTCCTACCTGCTGTTCTCTCCCTCTCGCCTGCAGCGTTATTCATTCCCCATCGCAGCCACTTCTGGTGTGAACACGCCACGTGATTCTTCATGCTGTGTCTGTGGCACAGCTGAGGTGCCAGCGGGCCTCTGCACTGCCCGCTGCCCTGGCAGGGTCCCGACACAGGGCTGAGGATCGTGTGCTGCTCTGGGTTGGCGCACGAAGCCCTTGTGAGGGTTTTGCCATGCTGCCGGCGACTCCTGAAACATAAGCAGCTTTCTTATCAGATCCCTAAGGCTGTGTTTGGTTACGTTTCCTAGCGCAATGCAGCTAGTGTGCTTCATATGCAGAGTGTCAGCTTAATATCAATAACATGCTGCTGGTTGTGTTCAGATCCTCTCGAGTTTGTCACAGCCACAAGAAGAGTTCAGAAGCTCGCAGTCGGGAAGGCTTTGTCTAGCGCCTTTCAGAAGATACTCCTCGTAGTCTTAGGTAAGGCCTATTTTTGTTTAAACGCTGGGGTGTTTGGGCTAATGATATAACTTTCATGATAGTTGATACAAATTCTTTTTCTCTGAATCTTCCTTGGAATTCACTGAGGCTTGGGGGGTCTCGGGCAAAATTAAAGTTGTGTCGTGGTCTGTAATGATTTAACA